TGAAAAAGAGGGTGGGTGTGTGTGTGTGTGTGTGTGTGTGTGTGTGTGTGTGTGTGTGTGTGTGTGTGTGTGTGTGTGTGTGTGTGTGTGTGTGTGTGTGTGTGTGATCGTGCGTGTGTATCTGTGTACCGTGACATCAGTGTGCGCGTGCGTATGCCTGTGTTTTGTGTGCTTGTATCCTGCTATCCAACGCACTCTATGCTACCGCCTCTCACTGCTACATTGTTCCCCCCCCCCCACACACACACACGTTCATCAGGTGCGTACGATCTTCCGCACGCGTGCGAATGCGCCTCTGCTGGACGGGTGTCTCGGCGTCGCCCGGCACCTGTTCCTGCCCACGCTCGATGACGCAATCCAGCGGTTCATCACGGTCCAGGTCCGCACTGCAGTGGAAGTGGAGGGAGGGAAGCGTAAAGGGGTGAAGGGTACGAGGGAAGAGTATTCCGGGGGGGGGTGAGGGTTGACACAGGAGCAAGTGTGCGGAAGTGAGTGAATGAGTGTGCAAGTGAGTGGCTCTGTGATCTTGCCTGTCACCTTGCATGGATTGCCCGCTGCGGCAATTATTGGGAAGCCAATGATGCACATACACACACACACACAATACACACACACACACAATACACACACACACACACACAAACACGTGCACGCACACACACACTCTCTCTCCCTCATACACACTCCCCTCACACGTCACCCCGCCCCCCGCGCCACAGTTGAACAACCTGCTGTGTGAAGGGAGCGTGACGGAAGACATTGCGATCCTGCACGAGGTGTTGTTCGGGGAAATCCCGCCCGAACGCACACACGATGAAATGGCTGAAGATGAAGCAAAGGCGCGCAAACTTCTCAAGGACCTCCTACCAGGTGCACAGTAGCGTGCCATACCCCATACGCCTTGCCTGCCTCCATCTCCCTCCGTCTCTCTCTCTATTTATCTTGCACAGCTCACATGCACGAAATGTTCTGTCTTCCGCTCTCCCTCCCCGCAATTGTTATTGTCTCCCCCCCCCCCTCTCTCTCTCTTGGACCCCATGTGCAGCTGCACTGCGGCGGGTGATGGGCGACGACTGCTGCGATGATTCCATCGATGCGCTGCTCGGATACCTCCACTCCTCCGTCCTCAACTGCCAGGTGCGATCCCTCCCGTTGATGGCTTTAATGGAACCATGCACGCATGCAGATTCGTATGGTGTAGGCGTGTGCGTGTATGCCCCATTACACTCACAGGTGCCCATCACAACACGACATGACACGACATGACACAGCTGATGTGCCGCATCTTGGACGCGTTCTTTGAGCTGTTGTTCCCTGAACTCTCAACAACACCCGAGCACAGGCACAACACATGACAGCACGGTGTTGCGACCCCATCCCCTATTCCTCGATCTTTAGCTCAAACACACGCCAGTCATCGCCTTCACCTCTAGCTCACCGCAACTCGAGTGTTGCAACTGCTGTTGGTTCATTCATTCGCATCAACTGTTCTTGCCAGTAAACGACCATTGCACCGGAACAAATGGAAACACAAACCGGCAGCGCAACACACCACACACACACACACACACCACACACACACACACACACACACACATACACACACACACACACACACAGTCACAGCCACAGCAACATTGGGGTGGAGGGGTTGGGCTGTTCAGAAGAGGAGACGGAAGGGATAGCCGGGGTACTTGACGCGGAAGCACGCGTAGAGGTAACTGAAACTCAGGAAAACCATTGCACAGCCAACAACCGTGTACACCCGGAACTTGGAACCTGGAGATGACACCAAGCACACACACACATACACATACACACAAACAAACACACAAACACAAACACAAACACACAAACACGAGCACGCAGCAAACGCACAAGTACACAAACACACACACACACACAATGTCACGATCACAATCACGTGAATGAGCGCGTGCTGAGAACTGATCAACCGCACATCTGTTATCAGCCAACACACCCCCCCCCCCCATTCATCCACTCTCAACACCTCCATGCCTCGACTGTTGCCGCGTGCCCACCTTCTTTCGCGGGGATTGCGGTTTCGTTGAGGAAGATGACGCCCGCAGCGCAAATGCCGTAGAGAAGCATCACCGCGTGGCTCTCCGCGCCGTACTGGTACTGCGACGAGCCCGCAAACACCGACTGAACACACACACAAAAACACACACACACACGCACACACACACACACACACACACACACACACACACACACACACACACACGTCGCGAACGAGGAAGGGCAAGAGAGGACGGGGGTTTGTTGGTGTGTCGGAGAGTGTTGGCATGAATGCACAAGTGTTGTTATGTGATGGTGAGTGTCGTTTGACATCACAACAACGAAAGGTGAACACAGCAATCGGTCAAGGCACAACACTCCATCGAGGCGTGGACTTACCGCGGTGCCGTCCTTGTTGGGGACCATGTATGGGGCACCCCGGATCTGGAGCCACATGTGGCCAGACATCATCAGCAGGGCAAACATCTGCACGTGGTGGTGGCGATGATGGGAATTGGGTCGGCGATGAGCACTGCAAACACACACACACACACTCTCTCTCTCTCTCACACACACACACACACACACTCGCTCTCTCTCTCTCTCTCACACACACACAACCACAAGTGCACAGAGCAAGTGGGAGCGTACGATGGCGAACCAAGCCCAGAGCTTTGGGTTTGAGACGACGAGGAGGACATATGAGCGGGCAGCGTAGAGGATGCCGGCGACAATGCCGAGGATGAGCACGCTGATGATCATCCCGCCATAGTTCGGCGGACGGTAGATGGGGAACTGCACCGGGTCGAGAGGAGGAGGAGGAGAGAAGGGTCGATTGCATGGCGTGAGCAAACAATACAGGAAGTGGAAACAATACAGGAAGTGGAAACAATACAGGAAGTGGAAACCAGACACGCCGCCCTCAGATGCTTGCATGCAGACACGCATTCAGTCCGTGCGGTCACAACACTGTGTTCGTGCATGTGGTACCTTCTTGCCAACGACACTGGCAAAGTATGTGGCCATATCCTCTGCAGCAAGCACTTGCCTACGGAGACACAGAGTTGGGGGATCACACAGATGAATAATACAGAGCAATACGTGTGTGTGTGTGTGTGCTTGACGAGAATAGGCGCGGCATTCACCCGCCAAAACAAACAAACACATGCACACACACACACATCCACAAACCACACACATGCACAAACCACAAACCACACACATCCACAACCCCCCCCCCCCCACACACACACACACACACACACACACACACAGGATCAACACTGGCGCGTTGCGTACTGGTTGTGGCGGACGGGTTTGCCTGATGGCGGAACGTGGAAGAAGACGGGTGCAGACTGACATTTCAGCTACACACACAACGACAGCACACAGGTGGGTCAGCAACGCGTTTAGTACGCACTAGCACATACCTGCACGCACCAGTGACCACAGCACCGTGCTCCATCAGCGCACTGTGCAAGGTACCTTGCGAAAGACGTCCTCGTTGCCATCAAAGTCCACGGATGCAAAAAAGAGGTCGTCGTTGTCCGGGAACGCGCGGTAGAACGACGACGCCGCCACTTGAAACTCGGCTTGCGCAGCCCTGCACATACGAACACCAAACAAAGAACAAAAGTGGAACGCAGCGCGTCGGCACGATCCACACACAAGGTCATCACCTTTTCTGTGGCACATGCACTTCAACACTTCAACAAAACACCCGCCAACACATGCACGCGCACGCTTGCCAACCCACGCACACACACGCATGCAAATACAAACACACACGCGCACAAGCACAACGACGTGAGAACTGACTTGCAGTGTGTGCACTGGCGTGCAGGGTTGAGCGCGTTGAGGACCAGGATGACATCGTACTGGCGCGGACGCGTTTGCAGCAGGTCCTTGTAGTTCCCTGCCGTGATTGTGATCACACCGCTATCGGAAGCCTTGCGCAGCTCCACCATGCGTGCTGTGCGCTCCATGCACTTTTCACCGCATTTCGCAGCTTCAGCGCAGCCCACAGCAAGCAGCAGCGCACACACAACAGCAACACCAACAGCAGCAGCACTCCACTGGCACCTCATCTCTGCGTCTTGTCTTCGGCTGTGTTGACAAAGGAAAATCAACGGGAATCGTGGCTATTATTCGTCCATCAAACGCTCGCACACGACGACGAGTTGAGTTGAGGTTGGTGGTCGGGCTGCTGCTGGTGTGCTGAGAGCGAGTGTGCTGTCGAATGATGTGTGATGCTGTTTGTGGTGCGTGAGCTACATGTCAGTGACTCTGTCTGTCTTTCCACCCCTCTGCCTTCCCACCACCTCTCTGCCTTCCCACCACCTCTCTGCCATTGCACCACCTCTCTGCCATTGCACCACCTTTCTGCCATTGCACCACCTCTCTCGCCTCCACATGTTTCTCTCAACCTGTTTTTTTTTTGACTCACGTCCACTGACATGCATCACTCTGCAGCATGGACCGCGTTCAGGACTCAAAGGCGTTTGCGCGCTGGCTGACATCGTACACCCAGCGCAAGTTAGTGTCAACGAAGCAGAGTAGCCCTTGCCCTTGCATGTGCAATTTGCATGCGCTGTCACACACGTGTATGTGTGTGCACATGAAGGGTCTCCCGCACCTGCTCTTCTCCACCCTCACACAACACAACACACACACACACGCACACACACAACACCCTCACACAACACAACGCACGCACACACACGAACACACACGAACACACACACACACGAACACACACAACACGACACAGGGGTGAGGACGAAGCAGTCGCGGACTATGTTCAGAACTTGTTTGAGAGCAGCTCTGACCTGAACCAGGCGCGTTCTCGCTGCCTGGCAGGCTTGCCAGACATCTGCAACGGTGACGGTACGTCTCCCTCACTCATCACGGATACCGTGCTTGTCTTGTTCCTGTTCGGCCACGTTCTCTCCCTCGTTGAGATGAACACTCACTCTCTCTTTCACACACACACACACTCACTCACACACACTCACACTCACTCACTCACTCACTCACTCACTCACTCACTCACTCACTCACTCACTCACTCACTCACTCACTCACTCACTCACTCACTCACTCACTCACTCACTCACTCACTCACTCACTCACTCACTCACTCACTCACTCACTCACTCGCCACTTTCCGTACAACAGCGCAAACTATTGCAGATGACGTGTTTGAGGCTGTGACGACGGGCTCTTACCTGCCTCGTCGAAGGTCCGACAAGCACAAGCCCGCAGCAACACCAACCCAGCAACAGCCAGCAAAGCCAGCGTCACCATCACCAGCCGCACCAACCGCGCCTGCGCCCCGCTCGCCATCACCAGCGCACGCACCGGCCACGTCTGCGCCGGCGGTCCGCGCCGCGGAGGAGCCGAGACGGCGCAGCGAGCGGTCGCCGGAGACGTCGCGGTCATATCGGGGGCGGGCGGACGAGGACGAGCGGAGCAGGCGGCGGTACAGCGGGGGAGACGGCGAGAGGAGAGAGCGGAGGGGCCGGAGACGCAGCCCTGATGAGGCGGAGAGGAGGAGAAGCGACGCGCGCAGACCCCGCGACGGGTCTGTATCCGCAAGCTCCGACGAGGATGAGGTGCGAGCACACGTGCACAAAGACATCATGGCCCACGACACAAGAGAGGGAGGGGGGCGTTTCGGGCACCCACACTTTGGGGTGGTGACTCACATGCATGCATCAGATGTGTGTCTCGCCTTCACTCACACAATCGTGGCCTTTCCGTTTCGTATTCACGTGTGTACATGTGCGTGTGTGCATGTGTGTGTGTGTGTGCAGCCTGACCGATATGATCCGCGAAAGCGCGCGAGAATGGAAAAGTCGAGTGTGGACGAGAGCAGCGGGCGTGGATACGGGCGGGACCGCGGTTTGGATGGTGGACAGCGCAGAACCCGCACAGCAGGGGCACTCCCGCCCAGACACGACACATCCACACGTCATCCCCGCCGCAAGGGTGAGTGTGTGTGTGTGTGTGTGTATGTGTGTGTGTGTGTATGTGTGTGTGCTGTGCTGTGCTGTGCTGTGAATGAGAGAGGGAGCGGAGAAACAGAGACCAAGCTTGCCGTGCACCACTATTATGCAGACGCGACCGCATATCAGCCGGCCTCCTTCGACTCACGCACAACCGCCACCTGCCTCCCCACACCGCCTCCATCCAACCCATCCACTGCCGTTGACAGATAAGCCCGGCCAGCCGTGGCGGCCGCCTGCCTCCACCAAGGCGCCGCTCATGCCAATCCCAGGCGCCTTCCCACCGCGCCCACACATGCAACAGGCCCCATTCCAAGGCACGAGCTGTGCTGTTGCTGTTTCAATCTCACTGACCCACCAACCACGAACCCTTGATGTTCGCCTTGCCAGCTCTTATCTCTGCACCCGACTCACGATCACGAACGACTGCTCTCGCTTCATTCAGGTGACGCCCAACCGCCATTTCCCATGCAGCAATTCCGTGGACCACAGCAGGTATGCATTATGTCTGTGCCCGTCTGTCTGTCTGCGTGTGCGTTGGTGTGTCTGTCTCTGCGTGTGTCTGCCTGCCTGTCTGTCTGTCTATCCGTCCGCCTGTACATGTGTCCGTGTTGCCTGCGGTTGGCATTTCTGCTCACCCCTCCCTGTTCCGCAATTCATCTTCACCCGTCCCCGTCTCTTGCTGACGTGACGTGCGACAGGTTGGCATGGGTAGTGGCGGATTTGGCGGGCAGGCGATGGTGCGCCCAATGCAGCCAGGCGCAATGATGCACCAGCAGCACCAGCACCAGCCGTTCACGACGCAAATGGGAGGCTCGTTCCAACCGCAGCAGCAGCAGCAGCAGCAGGGAGTGTTTCCGGCAGCAACAATGGCTCAGCCCGTGCAATTTGGTGGTATGCAACAACAGCAACGACCTCCACTGGCCCAGCAGCAGCAGCAGCCCTTTGGTATGCAGATGCAAGGCCCTGTGCAGCAGCAACAACAACCATTTCAACCACAGCAACAGCAGTTTCAACAGCCACAACAACCATTTCAACCACAGCAACAGCAGTTTCAACAACAGCAGCACCAACAATTTACGCCACAGCATCAGCAATATCAACTACAGCAGCAACCACTACAACAGCAATTCCAACCACAACAGTATCCGCCACAACAGCAGTTCCAACCACAGCAGCAGCAGCAGCAGCGACCAACGAGACACCAGCAGCAGCCACGAATGCGCAAGCCATACAAACCGCGGCGCACCCCAGACCTACACCATGATCAGCAGCAGCAGCAGCAGCAGCAGCCACGTCCCCACCCGAAACAGCAGCAGCAGCGGGTGCAGGAGGAAGCGAGCGCTGGTGGCAATGGCGGTGATGGTGAGCAGGTGGTGACGGCCGGCAACGGACGACCGCCCAAGCCCGCGCCGGGTAAGGGGAAGCGCGCACCGCCATCACGCGTCCTCGGCGTCAAGGTGAGCACGTGCTTGATCGCTCTGTTTTGCCAATTCACTTTTGCTTGGTTTGCTGGCTGGCTTGATTGATTGTTGACTTGCTGGTGTGTGTGTGTGTGTGTGTGTGTACACCTGCTCGCCCTCACTTGCCTGTGTACACTGCCTCACCTGCTCCACGCCGGTCGCCAGAACATTCCGGTGGCCGACAACACCGAAACGCGACTTCGCGAGCACTTTGAAGCGTTTGGGGCCATCGAGGCCATTCGACCAGGCACCATGCCGGACGGCAGCAAATGGGACAAGGTGATCCTGCCATGGATGGCGGTGATGATGATGCGGGTGTTGGTGGTGGTGGCGACTGTCATGCTCTGCTTGTCCTGGCTTCTTGTTGTCCCGAATGGCTCCCTCCTTGTGCTGTGTGCGCACGTGTCCAAGCGTCCATCTCACTGCAGCTGCCACCATGCATCTTCATCCCACAGGGTGCGACTGTTGTGTATGAGTCTGTTGAGAGCGGCGTGAATGCGCACAACTCGCACCAGGCCGTCCTGGGCAACCGCTTTGTCAGCATCTTCTTCGCCCCAGACGCCGCCCCAAAGGACACGTGAGTAACACTGTGTGGCTGTGTGTTGCTGTGTCTGTGTGTGTGTGCGTGTGTGTGTCTGTCTGTCTCTGTGTGTGTGTGTGTGTGTGTGTGTGTGTGTGTGTGTGTGTGTGCTGTGTGCTTCGGGTTGTGCACGTTTGGTGCTCCAACGTCTTCCGTGCATCTCACCAAGCATCCAACCCCTCCCCCCCCCCCCCAAAAAAAAAAAAAAAACGCTACTCTGCCTCTGTCATGGCCACCAGCGGCCCGCCGCCGGAGCCGTCACAGAAGATCATTTCACGCAAGGAGGCGCAATCGGTGCGTGCCCATGATTCTCGCGTGAACCCTCGTGCGTGCTTCCACCACCACACTGCAACATGCTTCTCTCACCATGCCCCTCACCACCACCATGTCAACTGCTGCAGGCGTCGTCGAAGGCGGCAAAATTGCACAAGATTGTCGACTTGTTGGCGGTGAGCAGAACACACGCACACTCTTGTATTCACGCCTCGCACGCACGTACCTGCTCACATACACACGCGCACTGGCTCTTACACTCGCTTTCACACACACACACACGTGTTCATGCGCCTGCTGCGTGCATGCCTGCCTCCGCCCTTCCTCGCTCGGCCGTGGGTGCCCTTGGCACGTGCAGCGGTCTGTGGAGCGGCAGCGGCATTTCCTGAAGCAGCTGGAGAGCAAGACGATGACGGCCGAGGAGCGGTCCGTGGTCAAGGACGCGTTGAGGCGCGAGCTTTCACACGCGAAGCAGATGCGCAGCCAGGAGCAGCAGCTCATGCAGGAGCAGGTGCCGGCGTGTCCCTCTGCGTCTGTGTGTGCGTCTGTGTCTGTGTGTGTGTGTGTGTGTGTGTGTACGTCTGTGTGTCTGTCTGTCTGTCTGTCTGTCTGTCTGTCTGTCTGTCTGCATGCGCCAGTGTGTTTGTGTTGGTTGGTCCGTGCTCGTGTGCCGGTGCCTCGCTCGTGTGCTTTGTTTGTTTGGTTTCTGCCTCTGTTGTGTCTTGCGGCTCCCAATATCTCCGCTGTTTGACTGCACCACCTGCTGCTCACTGCTGCACCACGGCATGCGTGCTTGCAGGCTGCTGCTGCTGCATCGGGAGCCGAGGGCCGTGGCCGCGGCCGTGGACGGGGGCGAGCGCGCGGACGAGGACGTGGCCGGGGGCGTGGCAGGGGACGCGGAAGGTGGGGTGATTGATGGCGGTGGTGGATGGTCAATTGGTTGTGGTCCCTGGGGTCGCTTGTCATCTTGCTTTCCGCCAATGTCATTGTGCTTGTACCTGCAGTCACCCACGCACTCACTCACTCACGCACACTCACGCACATTCACTTACCCAATTACTCACTTACTCAATTACTCAATTACTCAATTACTCAATTACTCACTCACACGCCATGACAGGGCAACGGGCACGGTGATCCAAGTGCACGGGGTCGATCGCGACGCCGTTTCACGCCTCACGCCGCTCTTTGCGGTGAGCACCAACCACACACACACACACACACTCACTCACTCACTCACTCACTCACCATTGCTATCGAGCTCTGCAGCAACACGTGCGGCACTGTGCTCACGGTTTACATCTCGTGTTCTCTGGTGTACGTGTTGATTACAGAGTGTCGGGGCGTTGCGGTGCGATCCGTTGCTGTCCTCGGACGGCACGCTGCTCGTCACGTACAAGTCACGCAGCGACGCCACAAAGGTTCGGCGCAACACGAACCACACATGCATTGTCGCTAATGCACACACACACACACGCACGCACGCACACACACACACACACACACACACACACACACACACACACACACACACACACACACACACACACGCACACACACGGGCATGGTCTTGTGAACAAACGGAGTGCCGTGCACGTGTGTGTGTTGTGTGTTTGCTTATGCTTGTCTATGCGCGTGCCTCCTTGACCGTTGCATGGCCCAAATGCCTGTAGCGTCTCGTTGACGCGCGTCTCACGCCCCACATCCCCTGCGTGCCAATGTCACATCGGCTGTCGAACCAGGCGCTGTCGTCATGCAAGGAGTTTGACGGCCAGCAGCTTGACATGTCGTGGTTCCAGAGCCAGAGCGGGCAGGAGGAGGAAGGTGATGCGCCAGAGGCAGCGCAGGATGGTGGCAGCGACCGGCAGCAAGCGCAGGCGGTTAAGGACGCGGCGCAGCAGGTGCAGGCTGTCGAGCAAGGCGGAGAGAACTCGCACGGGCAGGAGCAACAAGTGTCAGAAGCACCACAACAGGAGGAAACAGCAGCACAATAATGATGTGTTCTAGTGTGGACATTGTGCATGTGCGTGTCTTGCGTGTGTGGCTCGCATGTGTAGGTGTGCGTGTGGGTGCATTGAATGCTGGAATGGTGTGTGTGTGTGTGTGTGTGTGTGTGTGCGCATGTGTGATGTGATGATGACAAGCGCGTGTGTGCCATCATCATCAACAACAGTGAAAGGAGAAAATTAGTTGACAGCAGTGACACAAAAGCAAGAACGACAGGAGCGCACCATCAACACCATCCACACGCCGACCCACAGAACGACACTTCATTGCATCTTGCCTTGCCCTGTGCTGCATCGCTTGGCTGCTCCGTCGTGCGTACGAGCTTGCCACAACACAAGTGAGATAGTGGAACCAAGATCAGGACCTGCTGCTGCCATCTGTTTCAGCAGCGGTTGCAGGTGGTGGCTGGAATCGCGTGGTGTGTCGGAACCAGGCACCAGCCACGACAACAGCACTGTCTCGTGGCATGTCGCAACAAATACAAGATGCGGAGGAAGCGTTGGCGGCCAGGAAGCGGCAACTATGGAATCATTTCATTGCCGGAGGTGCGTGTGTCTGTGTCTGTGTGTGTGTGTGTGTGTGTGTGTGTGTGTGTCTGTGGCTGTGTGGCTGTGTGTGTCTGTGTGTGTCTGTGTGTCTGTGTGTCTGTGTGTCTGTGTGTCTGTGTGTGTCTGTGTGTGTGTGTGCACGCCCGTACTCATCACTCGTGCTGGTGCACGGGTTGGTCCTTTCCTCCCACTGCTGCCTTTTTGGCGTCATCACAGGTGTGGCTGGTGCAGTATCACGCACGTGCACCGCGCCGCTGGATCGGCTCAAGATGATCTTCCAATCACAGGCCGGCGACACTCGCATGGGTGTCATCAACGGCTTCAAATACATGCGCGACGTACGTGTTGTGTGTGTCTCTGTGTCTGTGTCTCTGTGTGTCTGTGTCTGTGTCTGTGTGCGTCTGTGTCTGTGTCTCTGTGTCTCTGTGTCTCTGCCTGTTTCGTCTGTCTGTCTGTGTGTGTCTGCCTGACTGTCTGTCTGTCTGTGGCTGTGGTGGGATCAATCGTGTTGCGAGACACTTGCCACTGCTTCGCTTGTACTCTCCGACATTGCCTTGTTCACAATGGGGACGTGGAATGCACCGTCTGTACAGGAGGGCGGCATGCGATCGATGTGGAGAGGGAACTTTGTGAACGTGCTCAAGATCACACCGGAATCAGCGTGCGTGAATCCTGGCCTTGGTGCAATGCTGTTGTCGCCCACTCCCTCCCCCCCCCCCACACACACACACACTTTTCTCGCTTCCTACCCATCTTGGTTCCTCACCTCTCCACCCATCCCTTCGTGATGGAATGACAGCATCAAGTTCTGGGCGTGGGACGCTGCCAAGAGTGTGCTGTACTCGTGCGAGGAAACACAAGAGGTGCCGGCGCTGGAGCGGTTTGCTGCCGGTGCTGTTGCCGGCGTCACTGCACAGCTCAGCATCTTTCCGCTCGAAGTCATCAAGGTCCGTGTTGTGTGCCTGTGTGTGTGTGTGTGTGTGTGTGTGTGTGTGTGTGTGTGTGTGTGTGTGTGTGTGTGTGTGTGTGTGTCGTCGTCGTCGTCGTCGTCGTTCGTTCGTT